AAGGTTTTCAAGGAAAAATGAAGAAAGTCCAGCTGCCTTTTGAAAAAGCACCTTTGAGACATAACACTTAATAAACATAATAATGAATTACCGCTTAAGACAGCAATTTTACTTTCTTGGAATTTCATATATGGAGCAAAAATGTTGCATTTTATGATTAAAAAAAATACTATCTGTTATGATCAGAATAATTCAAGAACACTCTTCCTTGTTTTGTGTAGTCTGTAATCAACTGCAGCAATCCCTCCAACCTTCCTGATATTGTTTTTGTGATCAATGGAATCCACTATCCACTGCCGCCAGCAGCTTATACTCGCAAGGTACATAACAGATTTGGATTTATATTCAAGTGTTCGGTTGCTACTATTTCTATGCAGATTAGAAGTGCATAGCTCTGTGCAAGGCAAGGGATGAAAACGGAAAGATGGAGGCAATCTTTTTAAAGAAATATTCTTAGTAATGCAGTTTGGGTCTAGAGATGCTCTTTTGAAGTACATCTCAAATTCAAGGATAAAGATGCTGTTTGGAAGAGCAACCATACCTGCACTCAGATACTATTATGTTAACATAGATTTGATTCTTGAATAAGGTTTTTGACTTTTAGTAATTTTGTCCTGTGGGTTACGTGCTTATCTCCATCAAGATTTTTTGATCCAAAAGTTGCAATATGATATCAGCTGTCGCAAGTGTTTGTTTAGTTGTTCCAGGAAAGGCAAAAGGTGGAAGAAAATAATGCTGTTTTCCCCTCAGTTCCTCTTTGCATAGAAAATTGCAAAATCTTTTCTTTTTTAGACCACAGTATGTGTTTTTGCAATGGCAAAGAGAAAAGAAAAAGTCTGCTTGCTGTTCTAATTTTAGCTACTTGAAGTCAGAAGGTTACACTAAAGGAAAAAGAGCAGCCTATAATCTAGATCAGTGTCTCTCAACCTTAGCAACTTGCTGGCTGGGGAATTGTGGGAGTTGAAGTCCACATATCTTCAAATTGCCAAGCTAATCTGAGCTAATCTCTAGACAGAACATGGTCTACTTTATGTAAAAAAATACATGAGATGTAAAGCTGGCAAGTTTTATTACTCTCTTGTCCCAGATACTGCTATGTCCAGCTATCCTATCACACCATTGTTATGCTTCCACAATGAAAAGCATAAACATAGCAGTAAAACAAAGCCCCAAATTTGATGTGTTTGTAAGATCCTTCCCAGCATACCTGTCAAGTGCTGGGGAAATCAAGAGATTCAGGCACTTAAAATGAGTATAAAGACTTATTGCAAGGTTAATCTCTCTACAAAATCTGAGCTACTAACGATCAAGGGAAATGAACAGGAATTAAGAGGCATTCAAGTTGGGCTGGACTTAGATCTCTTGCAGGCTTACAGGGACTCGTGACTGATGACACATTTGACCCCTCCCTCAGGTTCAACCTGGTCATCCTCTACAATTCCTGGCATCTCTGCACTAGACTTACCAAATATTGATAATAAACTAGAAGATCTTATCCAATTCAACTCTTTAAATATGTTGAATTATAATTCCAACAATTCTAGAATAGTATGGGCCCTAATTTTAGCTCTGCTGTCTGGGAATTGTAGGCATTGTCCCAAAACATCTGTGTAACCCTGCCTATATAATCTGGGGAATACTGACCAGTGAGTACTTTTTATGCAACTAGTACACCAAAATGATAACATAGAACCAAGTCAACCACCCTGTGAAAAAAAAAAAATAGGCTGCTTAGGAATCTCCTCCATTATATTATTTCAGGGCTTGATGGATATTTGGAAACCACAGTCCACTTCCAAGCCTAAATCTCCTTATAGTTTCTATCTATGTGCTTAGTGAATTAGTCAATGTTTGAATTCACATAATGGTTAAACTGTAAACAAACAGAATAAACTGATTTGCACAACATCCTAAGCAACAAAGAATCAAGCCAAAATTTACACTAACCAAGCCTATCCATTTGTTCGGATGAGTCTGTAGAGTTTTTAACCAATCTCTCAACAGTGTTATCTCCTGAAAATTTATACTCTTGATATTAATATTTCTCAATAACACAAATAACACATATGTTATTTATGTCTTCCTGGATTAAAAGTACAGCAATACAAAACAACACTATTATAATGTCCATATAAATTCACTGGCATTCCCTCCCCCCACCCCCACTAGCAGAAAGAATTTCAATACTAGCCTGTCCCACTGTATATCCACTGGCACAGTTTAAAGATAGGATAATATTACAGTTCATTTTTTTTCCTCAATGAAGCAGCCCACAAAGCATTTTGCAAATCTGAAATCTCCATACAGAGCTTTAAAGAGCTTTCTTACTTGAACAATTGGATTTTTATTCCTTTGGATAGCATCTTAACTAATTATCTCTTCGTAGACCATACACCAATTTACTTCATTATTTTTATTTAGTTTATTCTTTCCTTTATATATTTTCACTTGCTTATCTTTTTGTGTTTGTAGATTTCCTGGTACAATTTGACCAAAATCAATTCATTGAATAATCCATGCACAGATTCAGTTTTATGGCTGTTTTTAAATTTTTTTGCTGTTGTTGTTGCTTTCTTCTATAATGTTGTTTTATTGTTGTTTTCTTCTATAATCCCTCTAGTTTATGTCAGACCTTTGCAGCACTACTTTCCAACCATCTAATGGGGATCTCTGGATTCTAGGAGATGTGTTCATAAGAGAGTACTACAGCATTTTTGACAGAGGCAACAATCGAGTTGGGCTGGCAAAGGCAATCTAAGAAAAAAAATTCTGCTTTTTACAATAGTGAATACTGTATCTGTTTAATCAACACATCCAGCTGTATTTTAACTTCTCAGCAGTGTATTGAATGAACTCTAGTCTTGTCATTTTAAACATAATACCTGATATATTGCAAGATAATTCGCAAACCACTATTCAGGTATTTCTGATCACCATTGCATGCAAAAAATAAATACATAAATGATATCTTGTTCCAAAGCTGTGTTCTTTGCACATATTCATGTCAATTTGCATGAGCTCTGATAAAAATATAGTAGATTCCTAGACAGACAGAAAACAGTCTCTAGATAGAGATCATACTTTCATATTGGTCATATCTGCCTGCCAAATGACTCTTTGAAATGATTCTGTTCCTTGTTAGATAGAAGAGACTGATCTTTGACACAAAACATTTCTTTACTAAGTTCCCATATGTGTGACATTGGGATATATTCAAATATATGCACATATTCAAAATCTATAGGATTCAGAACCACAAGGCACAAATCAGTAGGAAACGTGCATATGCTTATTTATAATTATAAATGCATATTTATGGTTCTTCCTCACATCTGGAGAAATGGGCTTTCCTTCCACCCTTGAGTGGAGAGGAACGTATGTTGGTCTAAGAAGCCCTGGCCCCACAGCCTATCTCTGGAGCACTTCAGCAATCCATTTATGCCGCTGGTGACCCACATTGTAACTTGTGGCAGCTTCAGGGTAACAATCAGAAAAATCTCTGATGTTTCTCTCTGTCCCATCAGGGTTATTTATGTGTGGGAAAATGAATTACCAAACACTCTCCAGAAAGTCTGACTAACAAGGGTTGGGGAACTTCAAAGATGGTCTGACCTTTCTTTGCACCCAGCTAGGATATTACCCGGAACTGGTTCTTTCATCACCTTCAACTCCCATGAGATTAATCTGCATAGAGATTAATTGGGGGGGGGGGAGCGGAAGGAGGACACTTTTATGGACATCAGTGGAAATTCAGAGCTCAGAAGAAAATAGATCCAGAGCTACGGCCCCAGGTTTAGCAACATCACCAGCTGATATATTTTTGAAAAATATAGGCAGGAAACTTAGACTCAAGAACCATCAAAGAATGAGGTTGTGGATATACTTCATGTAAAGTATGCTTCTTTATTTTTATATTTCTTTATTTTTCTACAAAAACAAGGGTATAAACAATAAAGAAAGAAAACATCAGCTAGTAAAATTATTAGCTAAGTTCAACTAATGAATGCATTTAAAATACTTCATCTTTTATAAATAGAGTATTTTAAACAGATTAATGAACAGATAACCATAACAAACACCCCCCCCCCCTAAAAAAACAGAACTATGGACATAAATGAAGAACCATTTTGGAAAAGATTAAAATTGTGATTTCAAATCTCAGAACATCCTCCCAGAGTATTTGAAAAATTGGGCTTAATATAAGAGCCACTATAATGCATTGCTTAAGGTATTGGACCCAGAGCAGGGAGATTCATCCAGATCCAGCCAAATAATCCCTTCAGCAATGAAACTCAATAGCTGACCTTTTTTCCAGCCAATTTTATCTCACAGCATTATTGTTTTGGAATAAATAAATAAGGAGATCCTCGGGGAAGCTGCCTTCAGCACCTGGAGAAATATTTAACTGGATTTGGCTCAACAATTAATGTTGAACCAGATAAAATGATAATAAAATGAACAAATTTATTCTCATATTTAAAAAGAGAGTAACCGTGATGTATTAAGACTGCTCAAAGATACAATATAGGATCTTGGAAACGTAGTTGATTCCAAATTCAATGTAGGTTTGCAGTGCAATATGGCTGTTTCAAGAAAAAACAAATGTAAATTTAGGGCTTTGGGGATATGGGACTGATGAGAATTACTTAAAACAAAAATAACATTTTTTGAAGAATTTATTCCTACAAGCAGTGACAATGAAAGTTGTTGCTATGACACAAGTTCCATTTTTAATTATACAGAAAAGGAAACTTGACTGCAGTTTAAAATTAACACCAACATTTTATAAACTATTCCTAAATATTCAACTCCATCTGGATTGATAGGATTGAAAGGTTCAAGTTGTTTCTTGCTAATTAATTGTACTATTTTTGTACCAGCATGGTTGTAGAACCTTCTAATCTTTAACCCAATGTATATCTGTTAAGGATCAGTCTGAGTCTTCGGGGTTCAGAAGTAGAAGAGCTTGACCAATCTGAGCCTCAGCCTCAAGCACAGGGATTAGCTGAAGAGAGGAGGTTGCAGTGCAGCTGAGGTCAGTGCAGGCAGGTCAGTGCAGGCTGAGTCAGCTGATACAGAAGCTGAGCTAGGTAAGTCCCAAGCTCAGGAAAACACCACAAGTTGACAAGAGAAGAGCAAAGGAAGTTGAGTCAGCCACTTGAAAGTTAGAAGTATGTCTGACAAATGAGCCATACTAATTGATTCATCCTGTAGAAATATGGCCTGTATAAAGGAAACTGTGCCTTGACTGGTTCTTTGTGGCAATCAACATTAGACATGAACATTCCACCTCCTTCTAGCCTAACGGATGGTGCTTTGACATTCTTGGATAGCCTAGCAGAATTTTGGTCTGGAAACTGACCATTCTTGGATCATTTCCAAACTGGCATTTTGTCTCTCTCAACTATTTCAGTTGTGTTTTCCTTCTCTAAGCAGAAATGTCTGTAGTTTTCAATATGTTTATGTTGCCACAGATAAGGATTTAAGACTGTAATAAATACTCTTTTGGGCAGCACAAAAAAGGAATCTATTGATCGATTTAAAAGTACACTGTCATTATAGAGAGGAATGTTGCTGTCAAGATACTGTTATGTTGGCACATCCTTTGTATTCCTTCAACCCATGTTCATCCTTAGTAAACATGACATTCCCTAAAAGAGCAGTGTACAGAAAAATGGTTGGAAACGTTGTATAAAATATTTTAAATATGTCCTTTGCAAAGTTGAAATATTCTGAATGTGAAATGCCTGAATACTGTACTATATATATTATATATAGCATATGCTATATACACTATATACTATAGAGAAAACAGAGAAAAAATAGCAATAAAAATAGGGAATGATCTAAAACTTATGTTTCCAGCATGGGTCTGGATTTCAAGTTATATTAAAGGACTGAGAGCCAACAAGAAAACAAAGGGCTTAATATATTCACATTTTCTTCTGTTTTGTTCAAACTGAACAGAAGAGTCCAAAGGAGAAACAGTGAGCTATGTTGGGTTCCCCCATTCTATTTTCTGGTCAACCACTGCAGTAGCACTTGGTACATTTGTCTGAAAAAAACAAGCTTTTATTAGGTCATGAACTAAATGTGAAAACAACACAACATAGCAACCCAAGGCTAGATTTAGGCTAATGCAACAAACCAAAGTTGACAAATTCCACCCTTATTTTTGTGTAATATATGTCCAAACAAATAAACTACGGCTTATTGTGACAGCTTGAGCCACATAACATTAGATGCAAGAGATGGGAAACTCATTCTAGGTAGGGGAGCTTTGCTGGTTTCCACATACATAATTTCCAGCAACTTTTCCATTCTTAACAACTGATGAGATGCTTTTAATATTCCAGTAAGATCTACTGGTCATTTCAAAAGAATTGTAGAATCACTTAGGCTTTTTATATTCACACAGCTGGCTGGAGAATTCTGGGAGTTAAAGTCCACAAGTCTTAAAGTTGCCAAGTTTGGGGACCCCTGATATAAATGATCAGTCTCAGAACCTCCATGAAATACTAGACCTCTACACTTTTTCAACAAAACACAAATAACTTTTCGGTTTTTTAGACAGCTCTTTTGTGCATGTCAATGTCTGGAATACTCTACCTGACTCTGTGGTTTCTTCCCCAAACCCCAAAAACTGTAACCTTAGACTGTCTACTATTGACCTCACCCCAGGGGTGGGTTTCAAATTTTTTAACAACTGGTTCTGTGGGCGTGGCTTAGTTGGTGGGCGTGGCTTGGTGGTCATGTGACCGGGTGGACCTGGCTTGGTGGTCATGTTATTGGCTGGGCATGGCCAACTCAATATCACTCACATCGAGGCATGCATCTCCTCGCCTGGCCTCTCATGACTGTGGGGATGCTACAACAGTTACAAGTGTGAAAAATGGTCATAAGTCACTTTTTTCAGTGCCATTGTAACTTTGAATGGTCACTCCACACAAGCAAAGTACCAGCAAAGGAGGGGAAAAAACTCCAGAGAAGTCCCTGAGACAGGAAGTCTAGTCCTGCCAAGAATGTAATAAGAGTTAACGGAAAGGCAGTTTCTGTAAGCAACACCAGAATGTTTCCTTCCTGCCTTCCTTACAGGATTAGGCCAGTAATTTCTTCTAACAACCAGTTCTCCGAACTGCTTAGAATGTTAACAGCCGGTTCTAGCAAATAGGTGCGAACTGGTAGAATCCCACCCCTGCCACACCCCTTTCATAAGAGATCTGTAGGAGGTGTGCATAAGCACACCAACGTGCCTACTGTCCCTGTCCTATTGTTTCTTTTTATTTTTCTTATATGTATCCATTTCATGTATCCATAACTATGTTTATACTTATACCTGTTATCTTATAATTGCTTGACAAAATAAATAAACAAATAAACAAATAAATAAATTCCCTAGTTCTTTTGGTGAAAATAATGGTGAAACTAAATCTCAGCAACACCAAACTAAACCAACTACAGGTACCGTGTTTCTCACATAATAAGGCCAGGCCTTATTTTTTTTTGAGCCCCGAAAAAACGGCTAGGCCGTCTTTTCGGGGGGTGACTTAATTCCCCCCCTTGCATCCTCGCCACCAGCCGCTCCTAACGGGCGATCATGGCCAAGCACAGAGAGCTCCCTACTCCCACCTTTGCTGCAGACACCTTTGGCACCCGCCGCTGTTGCTTTCCTTTCTGCCCATTCCGCTGCCACGTTTGGAGCTGCCGCTTCCGTGTTTGGAGTGCCGCCGCCATTTGGAGCTCCAAACGCGGAAGTGG